TTATAATTAATTTATATATAATAATAATAATAAGGTTTGAATTTATTGCAAACAATGTTAATTTTTGTTAGTAAATTTTCGAACGAACCTTAAATTAGTGGCCGCGTGGCCTATTTTATCCCCCTTCTGATTCCCAGTTCTCCACCGTCGCCTTTATTCGTCCTTGCTAAAGTAACGTCTTTCTGCTAGTTTGACGTTCATTAGATAAGCAAGTTTGTTTCGTATACGAGTTCAGTTTGTTCCAACTATCATATTACTTGACTTTATAGTTTACTTTTTCATGTGTATGCCTTGCGTACGCTTTCATCTTTTAAAATTTTCCATGAGTAAGTTATTTATTGATTTCGATATGATGCTTTATAACATGCGTCATTATCCACGATCACTTACATGCGAAAATCAGCATAAAATAAGATTATTCAAAACATATTTTTCTTATAAATTCATAAATTAGTATTAGTCGACAAAATCTGCAAATTTTTAAAATCTAGCTACTATAAACAACAGCAAGATCTGTATTTTTTTGTTTAATTAAAATTTGACATTTTTAATTGATAATTTTGTTGTACCATCAAGTAGCATCATTAAATAATCATTAATTTTTCTTGTAAAACGTTTAATATCTTTCCAAATCTGTTAATATGTGCTATCACAGTTACATATTCAAACATTTTTGATAACTAAAAATGCAAAGGAAATTCATGCAATAAAGGAACACATATTAAAGTTAATATTTTATGTATATATTTTTATATTACAGATGTTTTTATAGTCTTCCTGCAACTATTGGTAATGCAAGTACCCTTTCTTAATTCAAAGTTTATAAGATGGTATTTGTCTTCAAGTTTTAATTTTAGCTGAGAATAGAAATGTGAACAATGACAGGATATTTACAAATGATACATAGTATTCAATTTAATATCTCTTATGAATAAGTATGACGTATAATAACTACTAATTTAAATTATGTCAGTATCTTATGTGAATTTAATTCTTCTACATTTTTTTTTTTTTATGGTTGAACTATTTATTTTGATGTTGCAGAGTGAGACAAAATTGATTTAGCTTGGTGGTGATGCGGGGATGTGGATCTGTTTTGATCCTATAGGAAGCCGAGAAGGCTGGCGTGCTTCTATTTTATTCTTCATATTTCTTTATTGGACATCTTTTGGTATTGATGGCAGTTTAACAAATGCAGCTACATCTAATGTCCCCCATAATACTGTTACTCCAGAAGTATCACTACCAGTTTCAACACACCATAAAGACGACGAATGTAGGAATGTGACCACAGACAATAGAGCTGGTATGTATATGTGTAGTATAGTCATTATATTTAATGTTAGGAAGAATTTTTTGTAATTTATAAATTTTTTAACTAATTTTTTTACTACCTTCAAATTTAGGAGGCAATATACACTAATTTATTATTAAATACTTTATTACCACATTATTGTTTTATGTATTAAACATAATTTGAATTTATCAAATATTTGAAAAGGAAATATTTTACAGCTACTGGTTTGTCAGTGGTCAGTCAAGGATCTGGATCTCCTCATTCGCCGATAGTGCCTCCAACTTTTCTGTACAGAGTTCTTACCTGCCAACCTTATCAAGGAATTTCTGTGAACCACATCTATTTTCAACTAGCAAATGTCTTCTTTCTATTGTCACATCTTGCACCAAGTGGCATACATGGTGTACTTTATTTAAGGTGCACTCTGCTCGTGGGCTGTGCCTTTCTTGCTTTGTGGGGCTGGACAATAGTTTGTTGGCTGGACGCTGCTCTCTGGAATGCTCTGTTTGTTGCCATCAACTTCGTCCATGTATGCACGCTTCTTTACAAGCTCAGGCCTATCAAGTTTTCAAGGGAAGTTGAAGAGGTAAGCTAAGAGGAGAATCAAGAGGAATGATTGTTTAACTTGATGTCACAGAATATTATTTATATAAACTGTATTTATTAAATTATTCATTAATTTAGAACTTGTAAAGTTATTTTAAGTATTAATATATTTCAAATTGAATATTTGGAATAAGTTAAATATACAAGGTGCGATGGGATGGGTGGTACAACCAGGCAAAGGGTGATTCTACGTGAAAAATAAACCAAAAATATAGAATCAAGTTTTTTTATAACAAGCTTAGTTTTCGAGAAAATTTAATTTACAGATATGTCGGGTACGCGTGCACTTTACTATCTCCGATTTTCATGTTTGTATAATAAGCAACGTCAATATCATGATAAGTACTGATAATAAATTTATCAACGATTGTATTAAGTTAACTTTACGTTCCTGAAACAATTCTTGATAGTGACGGCCTTGTTGACGCATACAAATTCTTGTACTATGAATCGTCGTGGACTGATGGTGAAGTTTAATGCCTTAATTGTTCGAAAGTCTATATGATTCTTCCATTGAGCTGCAAAATATCTATTTCTTTGCAATATGTGTAAATTTAATTTTGAATTTAAAATAAAATTTGATTCTATATTTTCAATTTATTTTTACATGTAGAATCACCCTTTGTACCACTCGTTTTGCTATATTCTGCATAGGTAAGGCACACAGCATACGAGAAACACTTTTTGTTAAATAAATGCAAAAGCAATTAAATATTGGTATTGAATGCAAAATTACTTTCATTATTAATTTTTATATGAAGTATAGTGATGAGATATATAATAGTTAAAGAAATGTTATACAATTATTTCAAAAGATTAAAAATGTATTAAACATGTAATGTATGAATTAATATAATTAGTGTCATTGCATAGTAGTATTCGTGTAGATATTGAGATGTTTCTATTTTTAAATTCATATTTAATATATGTACACTATAAAATGGTATACTATATTTTTGTTTTTCTAAATTTTATTTATAGTATGATATTATGTTTTCTAGATGGTATAATATTCTTGTTTTACTTATATATATACATATATTAGAATTTTCATTATAGCAAATTGCTTATGTGTTTGGCTATAGCATTTGCATTAGATTTAAACTCTTTGGGCACTATATTTTCGTTTGCACTCATATATGCAGTTTGAGCAATAAGATTTTGTTACAGCATCAAATTCATGTAATGCTTTTG